CCATTTAACCACTTCCCTTTTTATCCTAGTTGTATTAATTTGATTTCTACAGAAACGTAACAATTCCATTTAACCAAAGATATCTATATTATCTTTTGCAGTTGTTGAAACCCCTTGTTCAGTTAAGAATACATATTGTATTCCCTAGCAGTGAGAGGTATGTTAAACATTTTTAATATTATAAACTTAAATGTTAAGGTCATGTGTCCATGCAGAATGTATTATGAAATACGGCATAAGGTGCTGGTGTAAGCCTAATTTCTGCTTTCCAGTTTTCCCCAATACTTTTAACAAACAGAGAGTTGTTTCCTAATTAATTTTTGTTTTCCGGTTTACACTAGGTAACTCAGTGCCATTGTTGCTGATTCTCCTTTACCTCTTCTATTCCATTGATCTACCTCTCTATTTTTGACCAATACCAAATGATTTTGAAGATTGCTGCTTTATCAAATAAATAGAAATATGAAAGTACTATTACCCTTTCACCCTGACTATTTTCATTATATCCCTTTATATTACAGATCTTTTATCTTTCAAATGAAAATTTGTCATTAAGTTCTATAAATATCCCTTTAATAATTTCACTGGGAAAACATTAAAACTATAAATTAACTTTGTTAGTATTATCATCACTTTTATTATATTGCCACAACTTTACTGTGGATTAGGGCGATAGGGCAGCTATTTTTCACTAAATCATTTCAGACAGAAAAAAATGGGTCTTAGGGCTATAATGAAAACAATGGTTATAACTTTTGCTTTCATATATCAGATTACTTTTCTTAATAAAATGTCAACTCAGTGGCAAAAAAAAAACCTAGCCAAGAATAATTAAGGCCCAATCACTCTTCCATCAGATAAACCTCATACATTTTAAGAATTTATTATGTGATAAGGATTAAGCTGAATGTACTATTTAAGTACACTGTGGACAACCTGCTTCAAATTTTGAAAATTAAATTTCCTAAGAACCAAAATTTATTCATGACAGTAACTAGAAAAGTCACTTGTGAATGACTGGCCACTTGGGTGTCTGCAATGTCATACCATGGTTAAAATCTATAATTAAATCTCATTTGTTTTATAACAAGAGAGAACACTTTGCCATCTGAGTGAGCTACCACTGAAAAAAAGAAATGATGTTGTTGATCTTGTGTTTAACTTTGACCAGCGTTAGACAATCTCATCACTTCTAGGAATCAGAAAATCACATGTGGCTCCTAGATTTAGTGATGGAAAGAATCTTGGAGATCTCAGATCCAATCTCTTCATTGTATAGATGAACTGAGATTTAGAGTGGTTAATTAACCATCCAAAGTTCACAGAGGTAGCAAACTGCAGATTTAGATTTGAATCCAGATCATTTCATTCCAAACCCAAGAATATTTCCACTTTACCTTACTACCTTAACTTTGTCTTTAACGTCAACTTGGCATTATGTATCTATAGATAATCAAAGAATTACTAACATGCTTTCTCCAAAATTCTGTTCCTTGCCTCAATTATATTCCACTTTTATTTAAGATTATTACATACATAGAAGTAGGCAAATTTTAGTTATGAAATTCAGGTTGATGATGGTGACAGTGTATACTAATACATTAAAATTTATCCATAGATGTTAAAGTTTTTTTTTCTAAAACTATGCCACAAACACCCTGAATAACACACACAAGTACATCTATTAGCTTTTACAATGTCAAAATAAAGTATGAATCTGAGGCATCCGTGAAAGCCTTATTCTGATGCTCCATTCTAAGTCTGTACAAGGAGAAGGTAAACTCTGGAGGGTCCTATAAGACAAAAATGTCAAAAATTCAGAACTATCAAAAGACTAAACGTCTGCCCTCAAAGAACTATCAAACAATAAGGTCAGAGGGGTTGCTCATTTTTTCCCCATTACCATGAAATAGCAGACATGAAATAATCTATTAAGGTGTATTAGTGGATGAAATCTGATGTGGTGGATAGAGTACACCCACTGATGAAGTCACTGATCCTTGAAAGAAAAATGGACAACTTTGATACTTTGATGATCTATTACTTGATCCATGTGGGTACCACCAATTCAGAACCTAACTCCTCTATTACTGAATAGGTAGACTTTTAGAATCGCTGGGGCTGAAAAATTTCATTCCCTGCAGCGAACCTAGTGAGAGCTTCTCAGAATGTAGTTAAATTAGTCTTTAGATGTCAGGCAATACTGGCTCTATATTCACGCTTTTCTCACTACCTAGAACCTGTTAGAAGTTTTTCTCTGCTCACATAAGAAAATATATTGTCATTAAATCAGAGAGGGACCATGACACATAGTGGATAGAGGACCAGGCATCAGAACCAGGAAGCCCTCTACTTCAGTTCTGCCCTTGACATATGTTACTAAAGTCACAGGACTGTGCCTTGGGCACTTCCAGTGCCTCGGGCAATTTTTTGTAGATGAATTTCTACTTTGGTGGAGGGAATTCCTGCACCAGAAGTTTCCTACAGTAATGAAATCAAAAATCAAAACTCCTCTACCTCCACCACCCGCCTTAAAAAAAAAATCATTCAGTTCATCCTATTAAGTACCTCGTCATTTCTGTGTTGTTGCTGAATTCCTAGCCAATAGCTAAAATTCATCCACTTACCTATTGTCTAAAACTCATCATAGAACAAGTATTCCATGATCAATGCATGAGTTTACAAAAGGTTCAAACATGATGACAGTAAGTAGGACAGATTAAGAATTCCAGTTCAGAAATGTTCATTTATTATGAATGCTACTTTTCATTAGATTGTATTGTCTAAAACAATTCCAAAGACTTCAGAAAATAGAGAAAGGGATGGTGACTGGATAAATGATTAAGCTGGCATAGCAAATTCTTAAGTGTGGAAACACTCTCTACTAATGCAAGTTTGTACCTCCCTCTACAATATATAATACTAGAGTACTCCTTAGAGCAGGGAGTGGTGTTAAATTAAAAAAAAAAAAACAGGGTCCACTAATCCATATTGAAGGATCCCTGCAGGCTGCATATTGACTTAGTTTTAAAATGTAATGTAATCTAGGTTTTTATTTATTTGCGTAATTATGTAATTATGTATGTATGTTAAATATTTACCAATTACTTTTTTATTCTGGTTGGGCTACAGCATACAGAAGTTAAGTGACTTGCTCAGGGTCACACAGATACCCAGTCTTACTGTTTCTGAATCCAGCTCACAATCCACTACCGCCCTTTAGACAATAAAAAAGAAAAACAAAAACACTTTGAAGAGATTGCCAATGTCTACACTACACTGTGAGAATGAAAGTGAAGATGAAGTAGCATGTCCCAGTTCTACACTCTAACCACTACTCCATACCCTCTTTTATCTAAGTTAACAGAAATCAAGAAAATAAGAATTTGGTAGAATTTATTTTTTTTAAATGCTGAGTGAAGTAGAATAGAGGATAGGTTTATATGGCTGACAATGAGAACAGAGGAGATAAATAAAAAGGAATGGTATACACACATACATATACACATGTATATGTCATTACAAGTATAACAATATATCCTCCAATTGTTGTGTGTGTGTATGTGTATAAAACCACACTGGAAGACATGTTACTACAAGTGTGTTCTAACCTGCTAGTCTACTAATTAGTTGATTTGCTTTGCTATTTCTATACTAAGTAAGTACTCTGCACTGTAGGTTTTACACACACAGTCATTTTTCCTTTCCTTTCATTGAATAATAACACATATGTATATATGTGTACAGAGACAGACAGACAGATATTCCTTGCAGGCTTTGTTCTAGTATGGTATTTTTAACATAAATCAGAGTTAACATTTTATAACAGAGTTGAGAGATATTGATTATCTTCAATATTTTTAGGCAAAGTAAATTTTGAATAATGTACCAGAAAACCAAGGAGCCATTGGAAGCAATGGAGAGAAACTGCCAAAACTCACTCTCTCTCTCTCTCTCTCTCTCTCTCTCTCTCTCTCTCTCTCTCTCTCACACACACACACACACACACACACATATACATATCCCTAAAATGGACTCAAGCCTGAAATTAATTAATTCAAATCACTTGTTTAGAGATTATAGACATTGATGTTGTACTTGGATTTAAGTCTGAGTTAGGACAATTACCAGCTTTGTAAATGATACCAAATCAATTGACTTCTCAGAGTATTATTTTCTCTTTTAAAATGATAATAACCCTGCTTCCATTGCCTAACTTACGGTGCTTCTGTGAGCAAAGAAATTGTAAAGTAAACTGTAAAGCAGTACACAAGGATTATGAGGCAGCTGTGGTGTAATGGACAAGCAGCAGTGAATTTGAAGTCAGAAGACCTGGCCTACAGTCTTGGCTCCAGCCCTTAGCTGCTGCCTGAACTTTGGCAAGTCAGCCATCATTCCACCTCTTGGAGAGTCAGATAATAATACTTGCACTACTAACCCATCCCATAGATCAGAGTGAAGAAAATGGTTCACAAACTGCAAACTACTGCAGAAATGTGCGTTGTTGTTAGTAAATTTACAAAGTAAATGTACAATTATTCTCTTCTTCCCCTGGGGAAATGCTTTCTTTCCTGTGTTGTTTCTTACCAACTCTGAAATGTCATGGTTTTATCAGATACACAGTAGAATTCCTTGTCTTTGAATATTCTTTCTATAATTCAATTTTGTTTCATTTTGGGGTCGGAATTCTCTTCCTCCCACCTCCACCTACATTCTTTTCAAATGGCAGTAAAAATATTTTTTCTACAATAATAATTTATTGATGTTCCAACATTTCATAGTCTATCCATGCTATTCCATTCCAAGTTATCCACAAAAATCACAATAGCAATTATGAAGTGCAGAGAACAGGAACTAAATTCCAAATGAGAATTTTTTTTCAAAAGATAACATTAGAAATAAGCAAGTAATTGATCTTAATTGATTAAAAGCTTTCTCAAAGCCAACCTTACCCTCTGCCCTTCCCCACAATAAACAGGCCCTGAAATTATGTTACTTACTGGTACAAGAAGGGTATAATGGATGCAGAACCCAGGTTCAGAAGGAAAGTATTCATCAGAGACAAATCTTATCCTGATTTGATTTCCTTTGGAGATCTGTTTCCCTGGCACAGCACTGGAGCCACACCAACGCCCTAAAATAGTCCCATCACTGGGCTCCTCAATTTCTACAAAGTCATACCTGTAAAGAGAAAAAAAGAAAATTGACACAGATGTGTGTTACATGACTTGGGCAATATTAATTCACATCTTTGGATGCTAAAAATCCAGTTACCAAAACTATGATCTAATCCTAACTTCTACTAGGTTAAACACAAACTTACATATTCCAAAAAAGGAAACATTAAGATGAGTTTACATTGGCAAGGGGTGGGGGGGTGAGGAGAGGTGAATATGAGTCTTTGCTCTTGACTTTTCAAACTTGGCTTCTTACAAAGACCAAATTTAGCAGATGTTTGCCAACTGTCTACTCTACTCTTACAGGAAAGCTATAAGAACTCAGCTCATCCTTAATTCTTGAGTATTTACCTTATTTTTTATGTGACCATCTGATGCTGATAATCTGACCTCACTATACCTTTGTAATCATATTTCTTCATTATACCTATAAATACATGTTTTGTTGCAATCAGGCTAGCCTATACAATGTTTCCCCAAATGACATTATACCATCCTCTAATGTCTATCAGTGAAAAGACCATTACTCTGATCTGAACCATGAACCTCGTCATTGTCTATTCAAAATCCTACCCACACATCCTTCAAGGCCCAGATTAGACTCTGTAACCTGTGGTGATCTTTCCCTTGCTTGAAATCTACCTGTACTTACCACTTGTGCTTGCCCATTTGATAATTATATGCTACCCAATGTTCACTACTAGGGTTGTTTGTGGGGGTATGTGTATGCATATGTGTGTGTGTATGTAAATACATGTATATATGTATATATGTACATATATACATATACATGCACATAGATACACATATGCATATACACACAAGTATATATACACACATACATATATATGATCAGAAGAGTACTAGAATAGAATATTAGTATAGAAAAGCACTAGAATAGACATTAAACATCATATAGTTCAACCACTCATTTTACAGATGATAAAGCTGAGAAACAATCAATAAATAAATAAAAATTTTTAAGCACCTACTATGTACCAGACATAAGCACTGAATGGTTTGAGTGACTTGCCTAAGGTGATTTTTTTTTTGAAAAGGAGTGAGTAAAATAAATTAATCAGAAAGCCTTTTGTTAAGTACCAGGCACTGTTCTAGGTCCTGGCGATACAGAGATAAAAATACATCTCTTCCCTCAAGAAGCTTAATTGTGTGTGTGTGTGTGTGTGTGTGTGTGTGTATGTGTGTGTGTATGTTTCCTTCAGGGGGAATAACTTGCATCTATATAAATAAGTATGTACAAAAATATGCACAAAATAAAAGGGAATGCATAGAGAATAAGCAAGAAGAGGGGGGTAAGTGATAGAAATGAGAGTAGAATCATTTTTCTAGGAGTTTAAATGTGACAGAGCAAATGTAAGATGAGAGCTTAAGGGGATGACAGGGTCAAGAAAGAGTTTTAAGTTTTTCTTTTTTATTTTAGGGGGAAAGGCCAGTCATTTCTAAAGTAACTGGAGGATAAAAGTCATCAAACAGGAAGAAACTAGAGATTAGATGAGGGAGGGATGAATATGGAGGCATTTTGCTGCAGGAGACAAGAGGGGATAGGGACAAAGGTATGTGTAGGGGTGGGTTTTGTCAACTGGAAAGGTTAACTCTTCATCACAGATGAAAAAAATAGAGAATAGGGAATCATATCAAAAGAAAGAAGAGCCATGATTCAAACCTAGCTATGCTGGATACTAAATTCCATGTCTTATTCATGAAAGCCATTTACACTGTAATCTCTACAAGGTTAGTTTTATACTTCTCTATACCCCCAACACAATAACAGAATCTAGCATGGTACTTTTCTATCACTGAGTATTGCATAAAATGCTTGTTGATTGAATGGGGGGAAAGGAAGTGCCTGGTAGTTTAGGTTTAAGATTGGAACTAAATGAGACACTTGTACCCATCTAACTGTTCACAAGTTGAACTTCGGCAAGTCAGCCAGCATTCCACCTCTTGGAGAGGTGGAGCTAATTGGAATTAGCTCGATTCACCAGATAATTACATTCCATGATGGTTCTTTAGCATGGAAAAGATACTCACTAAGCATAATCCAAGAGTTTGGGTAGGTATTGCCCTTGTCTTCATATAAAAATGAGTCTGGATTCCCAGGGTAGTGAGACATTTTCCAAGTCTGAGGCGCTACCCACTGGCCTTTTTTATGCCCCTAGGTGACTGAAAATCCAATTCAAGAAGCATAAGCTTTAACCCTTAGACCAAACAAGTGTTGGGGACCATTTGTTTGCTTTTTAGAGGAACAATCAAGCAAAAACAACTAGCCTAGCCTATATGTCAAGGACCTAGGGAAGAAGTGCTGTTATCACAGACAGCTTCATAGTAATTATCTGGTGGATTTTGACTCTCTAGTTTAACTGTGTTGACCTAAATTATAGTAACTGCTAAGCATATAACACATAAATGTGTTATAATTTTTTTCTTTCTGTTAAATCCTGGTTATCATAGCTTTGAGCTAATTCCAATTTCCACTAGGTTAAACATGTAATTATTTAATATAGTATATCACACATTTGTAAAATAACTCCTGGTTCCTACAGGTAAGGAGACCAAAGGTATAAACAAATGAAAAATGAACTCAGTAAATTACATAGCAAAGTCACTAATACTGAAGCCAACTACTGTAATTTTTTCAAGACTTCAGGGAGAGAGGTGGAACAAAAGAGATAAGAGGAAGTAGTTAGAAAAATATTTGAGCTCAAATTGATTTGAATGAGCATTGTCAACTGCAACCTTTATCTAAGAGTGGTGTTTATATCTAGATTATTTACAAGTAGTACAAGGCTGCTATTCATAAAACCGCTATTTGTTCTGAAGTTGGCAGGTAAATCTAGGCTAATCTGAGACTGAGCTCTCATTAGTTCAAGGACAACCAGATTTCAGACATGACTAGCTAACTTGTATCCACACATGATCTTGTAAAGTTTTTTTTATGAAGTTCCTCAAAAAAAAAAAAAGACCACTTTTTTCCCCCAGGGGGGAAAAAGTTCTTGAGTTGTAGACAGAAATATAGCCATAACCTATAATACAAACTCCAAAAGCTGTTGTATTCTGTGCTGTTCTCCCTTGCAGCATTTTGACCTAGCACCAATTCTTCTTGAGAATATGCATATTGTTCTTCAGAAAATATTAAAAGGTATTTCCCCATATAAGCAAAACTTGAGACTGTAAATGTCACATGAGATTAAAATCTTTTCCAAGGAACAAATAGTACTAACCCTTGATGTAACTAACAGTCAGATATAAAAGACACATTCTTCCAAATAAGTCAAGCAATGTTTAACGTGTAAATTATTACTTTATACCAATTTTCTACTAAAGTTGTGGTATTTTTTTCTTTTCCCCCCTCGGTAAGTTTAATTTTTATAACGATTCCCAGATCTCTAACTAGACAGCTGGCAATAAATTCTTGTGTTACATGTTTGTGCAGGTCTGACCCATGCATTTATTATCTCTGCTTAAAGAATCTGTATATATTTGTATTTCATTAAATATAAATGATATGAACATAATCATTAAAGAACTACTATGCACTTTGATTTTAAATTTTAGTTGAATTCAACAGGTGCCACTAATTGCCTCATCAGGAACTTGGTGATATTCCAAATCAAAATGTCTTATGATAACCATCTAATTCCTAAATCCATCCATCTATTATACCATTAATGTTCTTCTGCAGTCAAGGGTAAAAACAATAGAATGCACATGGAATGTAAGAATTTTGCATACAACAGTCTATACTTTGTCTCCCTTTTATGGTCAGAATATGAAGGGTTTCCCCTCTCTTATTTACACTCGCATAAACCAACATGGCAAGGAAGTCTTTTCTTTTCAGGAGAGTGGCAAAGGAAACTAATTATTGACAGAAATTGCCAATTTAAGTTTATAAGTATGTAACAAGTTACAGGGTTACCTTTCTACCTATAAAGCCTGCCTTATAGCTTACCTTTGATTTTCAGCCTTAAGCAAGAAAAGGAAATTTCTTGTCTAGATTTGATTCTTATATAATCTGGGAAGCTATATACAAGTCAAGAGTCAAATTTGTTCTCAGTATTTGATTTAGACATTCTTCACAGTCACTTTTAGAGTAAGTGCTTGCAAACCTGTAATATGATGCAGTGGTGAGAATTTGTAGCAAATCCTGGAAACTTGTTTCTGGTGAAAAGGTATGAAACAAACAAGTAAGTCCCAAACTAAGTGAAACAATTATCAAAGAAATTTACATAGGCCACAACACCACAAAAGGAAAGCAATAAAATCCTACAATAATTGACACACAAATGTGAAAACAGAAAACACTATCACCCTTAAAACCAGAAAACTCCACATCTCCAGGTGACTATTCTGAAGACTCTGTAATCCTTCTAATACACTCTCAGGTATTATATTCCAGTATGCACAATTGCCCAAATCACTATTTAAAGGATTTACTAAACCTGTTTTATGAGCCAATCAAACATAACTTTCTCACGGCAACATGATACAGTACATACAGCACTAAGGAGTTTATAATGATTACTCCCTTTCTCTAACATCTCCCTGGGGACCTATAGAGGATTTATGTTCTTTTATGTTCAACAAACAAGTCTGGTGTTGTAGACACAATTTTGGTTCTCATGTGGGAATTTAAAAGCAATGAGGGCAGTTTTCTTGGTCTTAAGTAGAATCACAAGGAGTATTCAAGAAAAATATATTCACCACCGATAAAAACAAGAGTCTCCGGGCATCCTGCCTACCTCATAAAAATAAACCAATCTCTCAAAATAGGCTATTTCTAGTCTCACTAAAATCCTGTCAATTAGTTTTATCCCCATAAGTTATCTGAGCTGACAATACTGTGAAAAATCTGCCGACAGGTTTTCTAAGACGCCCTAGCATGGAGAGAGTCTACTAGATTCTGAACTTCTGTGAAAGGTAGTGAAATAAAGATGACTCTTATTCTACAGGATATCAGGCTCATGCTGCCCTGAAGCAGAGCTG